ATGGAAGATATGTAGGAGAGACCAGACAACAACTGCGCACCAGAATGAATGCACACCGGAAATCCATCAAAGACAGAAACACCCAACTACCGGTGGGGGCACATTTCTCACAGGAGGGCCACTCTCTCTTCAATCTCTCAGTCCTGATCCTCAAGGGAAATTTACACAACACATCCCAGAGACGAGCCTATGAGCTCTATTTCATCAACCTGCTGGATACTAGAGATCAGGGACTAAACATAGACATTGGATTTTTGATACATTATAATCTGCCTGGCAACTGACTCCCCAGCCCAGCCCCTGGCTTGTTTACTTTTCATTCCATCCAGGAAGAGCACACACCAACTGCTGCAGCTTGCTGAGCCTGACGAAGGGTTTTTGAACCCGAAAGCTTGCTTAATAACTATTCTCCAACCATTTGGGTTGGTCTAATAAAAGATACCAAATTCACCCAAGGAACCTTGTCTGCCAAACAAGTGGATACACGCGGTGAAATTTGGGCAGCAGTTCTACGCTGGAATCAGAATGCACCTGTTTTGGGCAGTTTGTTTTTGCTTGTGCATCAACATAGTTTATGCAGAACTTTTGGCAGAGGTGATATCTTGTATTACACCAAGTAAATAGTTGCAAAAAATATATTTTTGTATTTATTTGCAAGCTTTGGGGCTCAGTCACCCTTCCTCAGGCAAAGGAGAATGCACAGATTGCAATGTTTCTCCCAGCTGGAAATGAAACTTCATATTGCACAGGAGAATAAAAAGATGTTACACCTAATTTTTTTTAATAGGCTGTCGATTGACAGATGCATGGGATAATTTGATGTCAAGGATGTTAAATGCCAAAATCCCATTCTTTCAACTGTCATGACCTTTTAGTGAATTTGTTGGTACTTGCCTTGTTAATATTGATTTTGAGTGTGAATAAAAACTTGGGTAATGTCTAATTAGGCAATTAAATTAGCATTTCTTACACATTTAATTAAACATTGTTTCTTTCTGACTCGGGTTTTGGGGTTATGTTGGGTATTTATTTTAAGTGACTTACAGTGTTTTATAGCTATTTTCTGTGCTATGAATGAAGATCCTCCTCTTGAAATTCCTAGTATACATACAAAGAATCCTGTAGGGGGATCCCCCATGTAGTGGGTCTACTGACCCCCCACGCACCCCTCCTCCCCCGCAATATGCTACAAGGATACTCAATAGTGTATACTAGGTTTCTGTTCCTTTTAATTGTGATTGATATCTTTAAAGCAATTTATTTTTGAGGGAAAGATGAGACATCATAAGTCTTTTAGTGACTTTCATCATTAGGACCCAAAGCTGCAAGCTTCCTGTCAGTTCTACAACTGGGCAAGTTTCAGGGAGGACTGGACACTCTTATAGATAACAAGACCGTCCAGACTTCCCAAAACTGACACTTTTTTAGAGATTTTTTTTTTATTGGAGATCAAGTTGAGACCAAATGTGGGAGAGAAAATAATCCATGTCTACACTGAAGGACCTTGTTGGCCACTGTCAGAGATGGGCCTATTTGTTATAATGGTGGGCCTCTGTCAGAGACAGGATATTGGACTAGATTATCCAACATGCCAGTACTTGTATCGGCTTCTTTTGAAGTCAGTGGAATTTCATACGCAACCAAGTACAGGGGGCCTGGACCCGATGATCTTGTGAGGTCCCTTCCAGCCCCTAACATCTATGGATCTTTGAACATTTTCTCTGGCCTGCTGTCAGCAAGCAGTATATGGGATTGATATATTGAAATACTCCTAGCCTCAATAACCAGTTACTTCAGTTTAAATAAACACTTCCTACAGTGGTTTAAGTCGGGACCTTTGAAATCTAGGCACCAAATTCATTAATGAGTTTCTGAGGCGAATATTGGCAGATTGAGATGCGGAGGCATGCAGTCAAAGAAAAATCAAGGACAAAAGAGTTTGAGGGAGAGAAGAGTCCATCTGAATTGATTATGAAAGCAACCATTATTTGGAAGGTGGGAGAGATTTATACCGGGGCTGCACAAAAGAATTTGGGCAGAGGGTGGGGGGAATGGGCTGAGGGGCAGACAAAACTGGAGTACTCTGGACCGTTTTAATGTAGTAGTGACAAATGACAATTTTCAACAAAAAAAAAAAGGGGGGGGGGGAATCTTGCTAGGATACATTATTTGGGAATAGGTATTTCTCATATTAGAATAAGGCAGATCTAGGAATGCTTAGAATAAAATAAAATAGATCTAGGCAAGCTTCCTAGTTGAACTATAGGGGTTTATAGAAGCTTTGTATTAAAAGACTTTAGAAATGTGACTTTTCAGTATCTTCTACCACTGCTTCCTCCTATTTCCTTTTGAAAAACTATTGTTCAGTGTGGGAGCAGTCTCTTTTTGCTACTGTTGTTGAATCCCTAAATATGCTAAAGTTAGTCTTAATGTTTACATGATTGGTTGTGTATCAGCTGTGTGCTGTTACATATTTACTGATAGAAACAGTCTCTTTGGGTTATTCTTCTCTCTCTGCCGAACACCACTAATTGTGACAGACTTTAAAGAAAGTCAAGGTAGAACTTCTTAGCTTTACTAAAATGGTTGGATTAAGTATCAACCTTTATTTGCATTTCACTTTCTCCATGGGTCGGATTCCAGAATTGTTTCTTTTCTGTTCATGAACAAGAACAGAACATGTGGTGATTTGTGTTTGAACTTCTCCATCCCTTGAAGGAAACTACAAACTCGGTCATATGTGCATTTTTGGGGCTTTTTAAAAAGGAATTTAGATTTTGTGATTCTCCTTCCCTACAAGTCTAAATTTATGGGCCAAAAGATAGTTGAGGACATCTGTTTTATTCTAAGGAGAAAGCCTTCTTACAGTACTGAAATATTGGGCTAATACTTCACTTAGTGAGATGCAATATCAGGTTTGCCAAGTGAGAGATTATGCTAGTCAGACATTTTTAAAAATTTCCCCAGCTTTCTCATCTGTCCCATTTCTCCATTCTTTAGGCTTATAGAGTAACGGCATTTGCCAACCAACTGAAGTATATAGCAATGCCAGTGCTGATTTTTTTTTTTTTTTTTTCCTTCGCCCCCAGAATGTGACAGGTCTGTCAATGATAGTGATTTTTCCACTGCTGGGATTTTGGTCACTTACTAATCACTCACCTGGGATTTTCTTTTTTAGAGTAAGGAGACTATTTTTAAAAAATAAAAGAAGTGGAATAATCCTCTTGGTTCATGTTTATTTCTTTTTCTTTCTTTTCTTTTTTTTTTTTAAAGAAAAAGCCAAGAAAACCCTGCAGTAGTTATGACCACAGTTACTATTCCAATGTTACCTGTGGGAATGGGAGAAGTCAGGCAGAAAGCTTTTCAAGGTAGCTTGCTAGCATAGTGAGTTGGCAGGATACCTGTCAATTGTAAATGCCCAAGATGACCACTAAATTCCTACCTAGTGACACACACAGTGTGGACATTTACTAACCAAGCTTTCCTTTCTCATTTTTATATGGCATTTCCTTTAATGAACTGCAGTATTCTTTTCTTCAAAAGGTGCTGTTAACAGCGCCCTTCAGTGGTATCTAAATATCTGTTGAAGTACAGTGGATACATCTTTGATAGTAATACGTTTTCTGTGTGTGGCATGAGTCATCTTCTGAAATACCTTGTGATTTGTCATATATCTTTATTTTTGGGCCCAGATCTTCCAATCTGTTCTCATCAGATGGATCCTTGACCTTTCATGGAACCTCACTTATTTGAAATCAGGGCTGTCCAACTTTGGTCTCTGGGTCCTTCTGATCTGTTTCCCCCTACCTGTCCCTGGACACAGGCTCTCTCAGCCCTGTAGGCTTTTTTTGTCCCCCCAGGGGCAGGAAAGAAAGCAGGAGGAGGTATGTGGAGCCTGGAGACCACTCTCTCACCCCCAGTAGCAACAGAACAGCAATGCAGGGGAGGAGGTAGAGGGCTGCAGTTAACCTCTCTGGGGCTGGATATGGGCTGCTGGTTGGGCCACATTGATTCATATTAATCTCTGTGGGTCCACAGGGATCTGCTTGCATAGAAACAGGTTATGATGATCTTGTGGCCATCTACAAATTCATCGGGGGGTGGAGGGGGTCAACAAGGGATAGGAGATGCTCTGTTTACCGCGGCATCCTTTGGAGTAACTAGGAACAGTGGCCACAAACTGATGGAGAGCAGATTTAAGTTAGACATCAGGAAGAGCTTCTTTTCGGTAAAGGTTGCCAGAATCTGGACTGGGCTTCCAAGGGCGGTGGTGCTCTCCCCTACCTGGGGGGTCTTTAAGAGGAGACTGGACAAGCATCCGGCTGGGGTCATCTGACCCCAGTGCTCTTTCCTGCCACAAGGGCAGGGGGGCGGCCTCGATGATCTACTGAGATCCCTTCCGACCCTAATCTATAAATCAATGGACTCGGGGCTCTTCTTACTCTAACAACAGTGGCGGGCTGTGACTCTAGGTATGGTGCTATATGCTGCCTTTCATTTTCCATTGCACTTGATCTCGAGTTGTGTTATGAGGGTGGAACAAATAACTTTCTTACTGTTTGCAGTGTGCCAACAAAAACCTTAATGTAGATTCAGTTACGGTGACATGTATCCTTCTTCTGACATTGGTTCTTCCATCTGGGAAATGGCTTTAACTATGCTGACGAAAACAAGTGAACAAATAAACCCTCTGCACATCTACTAGAAGAGGTTGCTTTTATATAACTATAGTAAATCCATTCAAATTTAAGGTAAGCCCCTGGTAACTAAATTTTAGGCTAAATTCAAGTAAACTTTTGGTTTTTTAATAGTGGCTATATTTGGCAAAGCTCTTTGGGTAAAACTGATATCTTTTATTAGATTAACTCAAATAGTTGGAAAATATCTTCTTTGCAAGCTTTCAGGTACAAATACCCTTTGTCAGGCTGAGGAAGCATCCGCAGTTGGTGCGTGGTCTTCCTGGATGGAATGAACAGCCTGATGAAGGGTATTTATACCCAAAAGCTTGCAAAGAAGACTTTTTCCAACTATTTTAGTTGGTTTAGTAAAAGATATCAGATTTACCTAAAGAACCTTGTCTGTCTATGTCCTTAGACTAATATGGCTACAGCCTATACCCCTGTATATTTTGCAAAGAAATGTACTGGGATTCTCAAAATGGTGCTTATTGAACTGATCTTTCTATGCCACTTGTAGGAGATTTGAGGCCACGAGAAAAAGAAGGATTAAAACCTCTGCTTGGAAGAGCACTAGCATTAAAACTCCTTTCTTTCTGCTCTTCCCCATTTTCTAGCATACTAGTCTTTCCTTTTCCTAGGTCATGACATAAATAGAGAAGAAGCAGCTGTTTCTCATTTTAGGGCTGCATCTTGGAGAGGGGTCTGGCTCCAGTCTTTAAAGCTTGGGGAAGCTGAGGCTGTTCAGCATGGTAATGCTCCGCATGGAGCCACTAATGGCAAATGGCAATGCTGTCCTCCCCCGATTTTGTTTTGGCTGGTTAGTAAAGATGATCAGCCACTAGTATAGAGAAGGCATTTACTTTTTGCTTAAAGGTTACAATAAGAGCACTTTATAAACAGAAAGCAAATAAATAAATGTGACCAGCAAACTAAAGATGACACTGGTAATGATCACTATTAGATTTTCTTTCCATTCCATTTATCTTTTGGCTGTCTGTAACTTTTTCTCTCTCTCTCTCTCTCATGTGACATGTTGCCCCTATTTATCTTATTGTCAAAATATTACTTCATAAGATTTGAAATGCCTTCTTCTCTTGCGTTCATTCTTTGTTTATATCATGTGCTACTGTTAAAATGCTTACGTTCACTGTCAGCATATTAGTTGTAACCTTTTATTGCTATTGATAACTATAAATACGTTAAGTAAATCTTCATTTTGCTGACCTCTTTGAGGAGGCTTTGCATCAGCAGATTTTACCAGTGGACAGGTGAGAGATTAGCAGGAGTAGACTCAATTTTTTTTGTAGGACACTAAGATTCATTGTCTTGCCAGACAACAGTGTTTTAAAGGCACAGTTTCTTTGAAGGTTTGAATAAAGCATTCAGTCTGAAGGTGGGGGGCTTGGAGAGAGAGAAGGAAAGTTGTTACTAACCATTTTCTCCTTACTGGAATTCTTTGGGAAACAGTTTTAAATTAGTTCATTTAAATAAGACAGTGGATGTAATGGCCGACTAGTGGCTACATTATTCATAAGCACAAAGTTTGGCTCATGGATAACTGGAGAATACAGCTCTGTCCCAAATTCCAAGATGCTGGAAATTGCCTTTCAGGGTTGACAGCCCATTGCTCGAGAGAGAGAGAAACTTTCACAGGTACCTGGCCTTGCCTAGCTGATGCACACTGGTAGAAGGATGTGCTGTTGGTTGCCATCTGCTTAAGTGCAGCCAATAATAGCACCATTGCCAACCAGTGCCACTGAGTGTCAGTGTGGTGCCAGATTACAAGTCCTAAAAACAAAATCGGTATGCAGATACAAGAGAGAAAGAAAGGATAACCATCTTTAATAGTCATAATTACTCCAAACTCTATCTTTTGCCTCTAAAAACTTTCAAGGCAAAAATAGTACTTAACCATTTGTATGTATGTGCGTTCACAGTATGCATGCATGTATGTATACATTTAATTTTTTATCTTCATTTTGCTCTTATGTCATTTTCAGGAACCTGTTTCTATGGAAGAATCTACAGATGAATCTGAGGTAAGTTTGTGTAAAGGTGCCTCATGGCTGAATATTAGATTATGTCAGTTCTTTATCAACATATGGCGAAAACACAACTTTTGTTCATTTCTGTTTTGGCAGCTGCACTTTTAAAGGGAAAGTTGCACTTGTGCTATCATAGGTGGCTTTGAGCTGTGGGTGAACAGTTCAAAAGAAGTAGTAGTTTTGCTACTAACGATACTACTTTTATATGAAAAAATGCCATCAAACAATTTTTACAAAGTCAGTCATTTTAGGATGTCAAACTGATACATTTGACAGTGTCAGGTGATTATATAGTCTAATATACTAATTTCATAACCTTCGGCAGTGGTTCTCAATCTTTTTAGCCTCATGGCACCCATCGGAAATGCCAGGTCTTAGCTTTCATTTGTTTTTTGACTGGACAAATAACAGAACAAGTCTTCTATTACAAAATACTTGGAAAGGCCATAACAGATCAGACTGCTAGTGGTAATATTTGCATGGCACCCTTAAAAGGATCTCATAGCACCACGAAGTGCTGCAGCACCTTGGTTGAGAATCACTGATCTAGGGTTAAGTTAAAATATAGCTATGATTTAGAGTATTAGGAGAGTGCAGAAATGGAAGCTATAATGAATTTAAAATCGCCTCCTCCAGATACTGGTGCACTAGAACATGCTGTTCTTAACTAGGGTTTTGGATATCAGGGAGTCTGCATGCTGCCCAGCCCAGCATAGCCCCATTGCAGCACAGTGGAGTGGAGTGGCATAGGGTGCAGCCTCCCTCCTCAGGCTTCCAGTGGATCAATTGGCATCTCCCCACACACACTCCCCCAACATGTCACCAAAACTCCTTAAATTTCCCTCTAACCCAAATAATTGCCCATCCCTGTTTTATTCTGTTTCATAGATTGTTTCTAGTTCTAGCTAAAAATCTCAACTCAGTTATGGTAATATTAATCATAGAAAGTTAGGGTTGGAAGGGATCTCATGAGGTCATCTAATCGAGCCCCCTGCTCAAAGCAGGACCATCCCCAACTAGATCATCTCAGCCAAGGGTTTTGTAGCTGGATCTTAAAAACCTCCAGGGATGGAGATTCCACAGCTCTCTGGGTAACCTGTTCCAGTACTTTTGCTGTCCTCCTACTGAGAGTTACTGTAACTCGAGACCATTGCTCCTTGTTGTGTCATCTACCACCACTGAGAACAATCTAGCTCCATTCATTTCTGGAAGATACAAATAGACAAGTAGTTGAAGGTTGCTATGAAATCTCCCTCAGTCTTCTCTTCTCCAGACTAAGCCCAGTTCCCTTGGCCTCTCTTCAAAAGTCATGTGCCTTAGCCCTCTAACCATTTTTGTTGCCCTCTGCTAGACTTGCTCCAATTTGTTCACATAATTTCTTTAGTGGGGAACCCAAAACCAGTCAAGGTACTCCAGATGTAGCCTCACCAGTGCTGAAGAGGGGAAAAATCACTTCCTTCAGTCTACTGGCAACACTCCTACTGATGCAGCCCAGTGTGCTGTAAGCCTTCTTTGTAACAAGGGCATACTATTGGCTCATATTCAGGTTTTTGTCCACAGTAACCCCCAGGTCCTTTTCTGCAGACCTGTTGCTTAGCCACAGTCCCCAGGCTGCACTGGTGTATGGGATTGTTCCGTCCTAAGTGCAGGACTTTGACTTGTCTTTATTGAACCTCATGAGATTTCTTTTGGTCCAATCCTCCAGTTTGTCTAGGTATCTTTAAATCCTAGCCCTACCCTCCAGTATATCTACTACTCCCCCCAGCTTGGTGTCGTCTGCAGATTTACTGAGAGTGCACTCCATCCCATCTTCCAGGTTATTGATGAACACAGTGAACAAAACTGGCCCCACAACCGACCGACCCCTGGGGCACTCTTCCTGTCTGCCAACTAGACATTGTACCATTGATTACTGCCCTTTGAGCCCAGCGAATCAGCCAGTTTTCTGTCCACCTTGCATCATCCAGCCCATACTTGGTTTGTTCCTAGACCCTGCTCTTGGACTGACCTGCTGGCTTCCTGACCCATCTTGGCTCTGGTTTCAGCTGCTCCTTCGGATCTTGGTTAGTGCTTTGATCCTTGAGTGGCCCAAAACCTGGCTGCTCACAACCCAGGACGGCATTTCTGTAGCTTTGCACTACTGTCCCGTTGTCTTAATTTCTCTTTGGAAGGATCCTGTGAAGTTGGGAACTCTTAATTTTACACAGCTTTTGATGCCCCTTGAGCCCTTAATCTGCTAATTGTAACTTGTCACCCAAACAGTTTGCTTTGTGTGGCATGTTCCTTAACAGGCATCTTGATACCGCTTGTACAGATTTGGTGGTAGGGATTTGCAGTAAGGCCTTGGATGTGTTTTTTGTTTGTTTGTTCTTTTTGTTTTTGTTTTTATATTTTTGTGAAGAGAAAAAGGAAAAAAGAGACTGTCTTGCTTTATTGTGTCTGCTTCCTGAATTGACCAGTTTTCCTCTGTCCTTTTAAATAAGTTTAATATTCTCCAGCCGTTTAAATTAAAATGTCTGAAATGCATAGTTATAAATTAGTAGAGGGAGCACATCTTCATAGAGACTTTCTGGGGAGATGGCAGTAGTTATTTGTGTCAACACTTCATGCAATTGTAGCAGATATTTCTTTCTAACTACACTACAATTTGCCCTCTTATTTCATATCCTCACATATGATATGGGGTATTATGAGCTTTTCTTTTTCAAGTAGACAGGCTACTATTTATTCTTTCCATGATATGATGAGCAAACAGTATATCTAAAATGGTATTTTAATTCTCAGGAGAAAAAACTACTTTTGCTGCAAAGTATTTTTGCTGCAATCTTGAAGCACTAACATTTTTTTAACTTCTGTTATTTCTTAAATTGCATGTATGAAATACATCTTGCTTCATTTTTCTCCACCATGATAACGATCAAGTATGTTGCATTTTAAGATTGAACAGGTTTGTTTCACTGAAAAAAAATCCTAGGTACAATGTAGTAACATTGGAGGGCTTAATGTTATTTTGCAGCATCTGGAGCTTCATGTTAGGGCTGTCATATTTGATGAAGCCTTAAAAATAGAGAACAAAGTAAACTGACTCTTGGCTGTTCATAAACTGTGGAGAAGAAAGTCTGAATAAATTATGTATAGCCTGAATCAGAATTTCTCACTTCTTAAATTTCACTTCAAGAAAGAGAATCTATTTCTGTATCTTGTTATTTTTGCAATTGAGCTGGGTTTCCCTGAAACTTTTTTTTTTTTTAATTATTTTTTTGGTAGGTAATTAATGAATGGTCTGCCAAGTTATTAGCTTGATAGTGATGCCTCTTTGTGTGGAGAGTGTTGGGGTTATGCTAGGGTGAGGGACCTGTTAACATTGTTCTTGATTTTAAGTTCAAATTACTTGGTTTGTACCTCAACTTTGCAGCTGAGGTCCTAATCAGAGATTCCAGGGCTACAGAAGTTTGCATTTTTCTCCAAATTACTTTGATAACCAAGGGGATGGGAGAATGGTTGCACTCAGTTTTGAAAATTTATATTATTTCACGTATTTGTAAGCCAGAGAGGTAGCTTACAGTGAAACTAGGATTTTTCAGTGGTAGAGAAGAAGGGAAAGGTATGCAATAATAAAAAGAATCTGCTAATGAGAAAAAAATATCATGCAAATAATTTATCAATTTGACTCAGCTGGATGAGCAATGTAAATAATTTATTGAAGTTTAAATGGAATCTTTACATACATTAATTTTAAAAAACAAATTTGCAGTGACTAGTAACTTGCATTCTAATATACATCGTTAGAGGATTGACTTCCAAGAAAAATGGGTTACTGGTTTTGGTGCTATATTCTTTTAATACCTGCTGTTCTTGTGCAAAATTAGATACTTCTTTTAATGAGCTATTAATATTAACTAGAAGTGTCGGCTCTCCTATTTGTCTGTTATGGAAAATAATGTGAATGTTACGTAAATTAAAAGTGATTGAAAAGCTACTGTGTCAACAGAGTGTTCTGATGTCGTCTACCCAAAATACTAATTCACTGACTTGGAAGGAGCAGGGCTGGGAAGAAAAAAATCAGTAATTTCCTCTTTAGCTCTACATTTCAGTGAGTGAATGAAAGTAACTCTGTAAGCCACTGTTCACAAAAATGCACTGAAAGGCACTTATACACAGCAGATCACAAGGTGGCAACAGCTAGCAGTTAAGTAGTGTTAAGGTAAACATTTGTTGAAATACCTTATTAAGCAAAAGAAAAATGCAAGTAGAAATTTTGGTTTTGTTGAAATATGAGTTGTCTTTTGAGTTTTTTTTCACAATTGCAATTAGCTTGGGACATTAACAATAAAGTGAAATAAATTGTGTTGTAAATGCAGCACATCTCTATAAAAGTTTAGTTGATTGTAGGCAGACAAGGTTCCTTGGGTGAATTTGATATCTTTTATTAGACCAACCCAAATGGTTGGAGAATAGTTATTAAGCAAGCTTTCGGGTTCAAAAACCCTTCGTCAGGCTCAGGAAGCTGCAGCAGTTGGTGTGTGCTCTCCCTGGATGGAATGAAAAGTGTTGATTGTATGCAGTTGAAAGCTGAAATGAACCAGTAGTTGCCAATGATTCTTTTTGGTGTGCACACAACTTCCCATGAGATAAAGTAGGTGGAATTAAACCAAATAATGCTATCATGAACTTTTAACTTTTATGCATCACTTACAGTGATTGCTCACATGCAGTATGCCATCTGTACACGACTTCTGCTTCATGACTTGTCTTACCTCTATTTCTTCAAGACTTGTAGGGCTCGATCTGAAATTGGTGTTCCATAAGAAAGTGTGTCTTCCTTTCTTCTCAGAATTGCCATGGTAGGAATAAAATGCTGTCTTCCCATCCTTTCATCTGTATATTATTTCATCCTCTGAAAGCAACCATTTTAATACTTGTTCACAGGAAGCCATACTCATAATTCCTTGCTCTAGTGTATATCTACATTTTTCCAAAGAGGTCAAGGGATT